TGCCCACAGACCACAAATAAATTCACGTACTTTATTTTTTTTTTTTTATCGGCAAATAAATTCACATCCTGAACTCACCACTCTCAAATTGGTTAGGTTAAATACCTTTTTTGGTCCCTCTACTATAAGAAAAAGCCCCTTTTTAGTCCTTATACTGAAAAAATCCCTTTTTTGGTCCTTAAAGTTCGAAATCCGGCTCCTTTTTGGTCCCTCCGTTAAATTTTGGCTGATGTGGCAAGTTAATTAACGGAAAACCTTTTTTTTTCTTTAATTAAATTGTGTGGAAAATCCATCTGGCAAAATTTGATGATGTGGCCAACTTTTTTACATAATTGCCATTACAAATATTTTAAAAATTATTTTATGGTTAAAGGTACTTAATTTTAATTACGTATTTACCCTTGTCTTCTTCCTCGTTCTATCTTATTCTCTCCTTCCTCCAACCTTCATTTTTTTTTTTTTTTTACCTTTGCCTTATGGAAATCAAATTTGGAAAGGAAAACCCAAGTGCCTCGGTTCACTGGGTTCGTCGCGATTCCAGGCATAAGTTCATCGCAAACCCAGGCAACAAAAGAGAAAAAGGCACATTGATTGCCATGGCAACATCTGGATCCTTTTCGCACAGCCGAGGCACAAACAAAGCAGCCAAATTCACAACATCAGGTTGCCATTTCCATTCTATCAATGAAGTTTGATTTTTGTTGAGCAACAACAATAAGAAAGTAGGGTGGAATAAAAAACCTGGCCAAATCGCTCTGAAACCATTTCAAACCCAAACCCATCCCCAATTTCAAATAGACATGAAAGGCAATGGAGTGAGGAAACGACTGAAGCAATGCTTGAGGAGGAAAAGAGTGGTGGGTGAATGCAATGTCGTAGGGTGTTCCTTTGATCTTTGAAATTCCTTGTAGAAGGCTGGATCTGGAGGCTCAATCTCTGCTCTGAACACCATGGAAGTCGCAAACCCTAAGAAACGCAAGCGAGACAACTCCATCGCACTCGACGGTGACAACGACCTTTCTCTCTTGGAAGCCATTAAGAAATCTCAGAGCACTGTCGATGCGCGGGAATCTGCACCCTCAAAAAACTAGTCTTCTCCTTCAAGCGTCGATTTAGAAAGAACATCAAGGCTTGCGTCAAGTACCAAAACTAGTTGGAGCACTTTGCGGACTCCGAGGTAAACCTCCATGACGACCTCCGAAAGCTCAAGATCCTCGCTGAAGCCCTCGAGCTATACCCCGACCTTGTCAATCTAAACACCATCCCTTCTATACTCAATCTTTTGTTGCCTGGGTTCGCGATGAACCCCATGCTTGGAATCGCGACGAACCCAGTGAACCCAGGCACTTGGGTTCGCCTTTCCAAATCTAATTTCCATAAGGCAAAGGTAAAAAAAAAAAAAAAAAAAGAAGGTTGGAGGAAGGAGAGAATAAAATAGAATGAGGAAGAAGACAAGGGCAAATACGTAATTAAAATTAAGTACCTTTAACCACAAAATAACCTTTAAAATATTTGTAATGACAATTATGTAAAAAAATTGATCACGTCATCAAATTTTGCCAGATGAATTTTCCACACAATTTAAGTAAAGAAAAAAAAAAGGTTTTCCGTTAATTAACTTGCCACATCAGCCAAAATTTAACGGAGGGACCAAAAAGGGGCCGGATTTTAAACTTTAAAGACCAAAAAGGGGATTTTTTCGGTATAAGGACTAAAAAAGGGTTTTTTCCTATAGTAGAGGGACCAAAAAGGGTATTTAACCAA